ATGAAGTGTCCAAATTTGTGCATCAGTGTTAATTCCACTTAGGTTTCTTACTCAGACGGTGACTTTTAAAGAAATGACTGCTGTTAGATAGTCTTCTGGAGTATGTCTGCATGCTTTGATTGAGTGAGGCATCCCCCAGTATTTTAACTCATCAGAAACATGTTCATTTCTCCATGGTCAAATGTGAAGTAAGTTATACAAGTACAAATCTTTTACGTTAGACCAACTATCTATGTTTGCTCTGTCACTGGGACACTGAGGAGGTCTTGTGCTTTAATCACACCTATTTGCATGGAAATGGATATTGATTGGTGGAAATATCCACACAGCTTTGCCACTGCTGCACCATTCGATACATTTCTCATTTACGCTTCGTTCTGTTCTCTCAGGGAAAACAGCAATCACAAGATGAAAGTGTCATTTTGAAAACAAAATGTACCACAAAGTGTGCTGGTCTCCAGCATACAGTAAATTCTACCAGCAGAATAATGGTACAGTGTGCAAAGGTGAGAATATCAAAACAGGATGTGCTATCAAACTGTTTCATATGAAGCAGAAGAAATGTGATTCCCCCATGGTGCACACCCTGAAACAATGAGCACAAGATCTGAAGTGAGTTGAATGAAAAATAGCATGCAGCGGCGCTCTAGCACACAGCATTGTAGTGTCGAATTCACAGCTCAGCATCACTTGAAAAGCCTCTGTGTGGTCTCCCTCGCTTCAAACATAAACACCACAAAAATATGTTCCTCAAGCTGCGTCTGTGGCGACTGAACCAACAGGGCAGGGTAGTTGTTGCCCGTCAAAACAGCAGAGAAAAATGCTGAACCAATGGCTGAAGATAAGAAAGGTTTGACTGACAGGTTTTCATAACTCTGTAATAATTACTTGATCATAACCCTCTTAGAGTCTATAGTTTATTTACGTGGCACTGCCATTTAAAATCTCATTAAGTTCCCACAAAATGCAACTGGAAGCAAATGATATGCACTTCTATTTACATCCAGTCATTTTTCAGTTTATATTTGTATCTCTGTTGCTGTTTGACTTACTTTGTCGACTGACTATAATCTTCAGTCCCACCCAGTGAGATTTGTTTTCTGCCATCCGCCATTTGGGGTGTACGATTCTGGGTAAATATGAATCACAGTTTTTTTTCATTTCGAATTTAATTAATTCATGAGCAAAGAAAAGCTCTCATATATATGCTGTATATATACAGCCAGCTCACCTATAGCCAGATGGAGTCACTGAATCCTCATTCAATACACAACCATTTCCCTTGGTGTAATGCTGAGGCAGCACTACAGTGATTACAGCAGATTAACACATGAAATAATGTTTTCCCTTTTGATCTGGGCAAAGGACGCACATCCGTTTAGTCATCTGAACTTAGAGGAAGCCCTGAGTCCTAAGGAAACATTAGCTGATGATGTTAAATTTAGTCTGCCCTCTTTCAGGCCATTGGGGAATTTTTCATTATTTATTCACATGATCTTAGTCCATGTCAAACCAGACTTGAAGGAATAACCCTGAGGTTCTGGTCCAGATATTTGGCAGTTTATTATTACAGACCTGACCTGAAAGTAAAAGAGAAAAAAAATGACACAAGGCCCACACATGAACTCACATATTTACTCTCCTCTGCTTCCTAATGTTCGTGTGATGAAACACACAAAACAAATTGAATATGCAGGTTTTTAAGCATAGAGATAAAACAAACAAAACCAGCTGCTTTTTCAAATTTGTTTCTTTTTCTGTCATCTCTACTGGGCTTTAGCTGAGACAGGCTGATGCTGAGAGGCATGTCTGACTGCAGACGTGGGGCACACTGCAGGCAGGATGACTCATATGCACCGGATGACTTAGTGAAGAAACAACTGGCCATTACACAATCTTCACCACCACCACCATCCTTCCATCCATTATCTATAACACTTATCCTGAAGAGGGTCATTGGGGGGAGGGGGGGGGGGGCTGGAGCTGAACTCAGCTGACATTAGGAGGCACCATCATCATCATCATTACAATCCTCATCAGTGCTGTTGTTACCATCAGATGGTTTGAGGATAAATGCATCTGCAAGTCAAATACAGCAGGCAGACACAAACATATATATTGTGAGAAGATGAAATTCTTGAAAATCTTTAACCTCCCTTGGGCTACTGGTTTATTGGAATAGACTAAAGAATTCATACAGGTAAATAATGGATGCTGAAGGCTTTTGAAACTGGTACTGAAAAACAGCAACTAAGGGCTTAATGGTAACTGTTACATTGCCTGATGATGATGGTGGTGGCGATGATGATGATGATTTGCTCTGCAAAAAGAGTAACAGATCCATGATGGCATCACTGGAACATGATATGAGACAACATATCTCCCAGCGAAACCGCCTCTCGCAGACAGAATTACAGCCGAATGTGGCTACAAGGTGGTCAAACTTTGATGTGTGTAGTTGCTGAGTCATTCCAATGTGCCACAATGAATCATATCCCACATCCCTGGTCCACACTTTAGGCAGGAGTTAATGTTTGTCTGCTGCTGAAACATTTAGAGATAAACACACATTCTCATATGAATGCGAGATTACTGACCTTTACTTTTCCCAGTAGTTGCAATGCATTCTGGTCTATTTCTTAGCCTTGGAGGCAAATATTTCCCTGTGCAATATCACTAAAATGTTAACTTACTCAAAACTGTTCTATCTTATAATAGTTGTATTATTTTCAAGTTAAATGTTGGGTATTTGATTTTATTTGTAAATCAAAAAAAGGCAGGCTAGATAGATTACACTGTAAATACAGGCCCCAAAGTACAACCTCACTGCAGCAAAAGGGAGTACACCTGAGAGTTCCAACTAAGACTAATTGCACGAACAAGGTTACAAAATAGCCCGAGAACACTACAGCTTTCTCAGTTTTGACCTTGGTTGAATCTAATGAAACATGGTTAAGAATTTCCTGAATTGACTTCATAAAGATAGGAGAGTGTACACCTGTAGTAGGCAGAAGGGGTTAGGAGGTAAAGGACCCACACTACCAATAACAGAAGGTGCTGTCATCAAAAATGGCACTACGCACAATTTGTCATTTAAGCACTTTTGCATTGAAAAACAGATGGTAAGGGACTCTGAGTTAGCACAAGGATTATCTGTTGAAATAGGTGTTTCAGTGACTGCTCGGGCAGTGTGAAGGAGCTTGAGTGAAGTCAATTTGAGCGTGTGCGAGAGGAGAACTTCTGCTCACAAAATGGCACAAAACTGCAAGAAAAGGACCTGTAAAAAGGCTGATGAATATTGGTGGCATACTGGGTCAGATGAAACTAAATAGTGACTTTTATTGTAGTTTGTTCTTACAGTAAATATCAACCTTTCATTAAAGTTTCATAAGTCAAACATTTTTTAAATTAATTGGCTTCATTCTTCTGATGCTTTTGGGTAAAAACAAATAAAATGGTATTGAGTGAGCAGGACTTATAATTACTGAACATTTCAGTCATGCAACCATACAAACAAACAGCTATACTGGGACCTCATATTAGACATTTGTCTTAATGGTCTGAATAACCAGCCAGTGAGCAGGAGCTGTCCAGCTGTCTTGGTGGCCTCTGTCCCTCTATAAACTCTCTGGGAAAAGAGCATCGCAATAATCCAGTGATGTTCCACTAGAGACTCAGGCAATACAAGGTTTATGTCTTTTTGTATTTATTTAGTCCTACAGAGATTTGTGTTGCCTTTCGTACAAGAGCCGAGGATGAAATAAGTAAAATTGGAAAAGGTACTGCATATTGTCTCATTTATCTCTGCTGGTATCTAGCCATGCAGAGAGCTTTTACTTCATTTCCCCACGTCTTCACCAAAGTACAATGAATGGGAGTGGAATAGAATGTCTGTGCTCCTGACAGCACTGGAAATGACAGTAAAAGAAAAAGTTGGCATTACTCTGTGTTTTCCTATTGGTAACAAATGTTAGCATGTCTCAATACTTTTTGAGTTTTCCAGTTTGTTTGGATCCCCTGGATAAATCCCATAGAGAAATAAACACGACCGCCACTGTTTTAATCCCTCAGTTACCATTTCTATTGACAATGTAAATCTTTAAATACAGGTTGCAAATATATAGGGTTGTTTCAGTCTCTGAAAAAAGATAAAGTGAACTATTAAACAAACAGGAGTAAAAGTGCATTTTGTGGGGACAGGTTTATGGCACAGAGGAATAAGCTATATCGGGCTTTGGCTTTGGCTTTGGCTCCACCCACATGTTTGCAGAAATAATCCATTGTTGATTTTGGTCTTTTTATGGAATTTGCTCATAATAAGAAAATATAGAATATAACAAGATGAATCGTTTAAAAGCTTAAAGGTACAGTAATTTGTCATTTCAGAATCATTACCCCTGGTTTATTCTAAACAATTAGTAGTACTTTATAATAAAGAAAGAAAGGCATGCACAGTATGTTGCTGTTGATTTTCTAAAACACAATGCATTTTTTGCATTTATAAGACAGTTGTGGAGACAGAGACATGATACAAGTGGTGAGAATGACATGCACCACAACCACCAAGGAAACAAGACTGAGTTTGCAAAATCATAGGTTTCCTGTGAAATCACAAAATTATATTCCCCTCTGTTGTACTGGAGTGGAGTCAGAAATCTAACATGGATTGTATGTATATCGGAACATCAGGGTACATAATAACCAAATCTATATGCTTTACTGGGTGCCATTTGTGTGAACTGACCCTTTAAATGTGTACTGTTTACTCACATAATATACTAGTACAGGCACTTTTCCTGTTTGCATAAAGAGTATAGGTTTATTATAAATTTATAGTTCTTAGACCCCTGCTCACTCCCCCTTTTTGCTCCTCTTCACCCCTCACCCTTACATCCCACTGGTAGAGGGAGAGAGAGAGAGAGAGAGAGTGTGTGAGTGTGTGTGCGCGTGTGTGTGTGTGAACTGCTGTCATACTGAGAGAAGCACAGCAAAGCACAGAGAAAGAGACAGAGAAGCTGTCACCGAGCAGAGTCTATAACTTGCTCACATGTAACCGCCAGCGGAGGAAAAACATAACAATTACACGGACTTACAAAAGCTGTTCATTTCCGTGACTGATGGAATGGACATGTACGAGCCGGCAATGAGAACTTGTGTGTTCCGAGTGGTCATGTGAGCGCTGCGGGCTCCAAGAAGAAACTCATAGCAGGTAAACCTGTGATTATATTTTGACGTTGTTCAGTCTTGTGCATTTTGATATCTACCTGTGTTAATTGCCAATTTTTTTGTTATTGTTCCGGTCAGTTCCATGTCAGTGAGTTCATGCCCTCGGTTTTCATGCTGCATGTCTGGTGCGAGTGGTTGCAGGAACGGAAAAGTTTTTGGGTGGATTGGCCAAAGACAGCGCCAACATAACGGGCTCCTTTCAGCGGAGCGGCGCCCGCTGCCCGTAGAGGATGAATGGGTCACTATATATTCTAATCCCAACTCAAAGAGTCGACTCAGTTGTCTTCGATTAAATGTGGGAGAAAGAGCTGCTGCTTGCAGATTTGCATTCCATGGAAGAATATCGAGGCTATTATTACCAGTCAATATCAAAGAAAATTACAGCATGTCGACATCAGTTCTATAAAGGATTACTTTTATTCCAAACTATGCAGAATCTGATTTTTAAGCGCATTCACGAGGCCCGTTTTTAGGTTCTTGAATCGTGAGGGCGTGAGAGCCAAACCAAAAGGATTTCATGCTGACAAATGAGAGCAGGGGAAGTCTCCTTCTCTTTGTCCTACATGAGACACCAAATAGACAACAGACTGCAAACTGGGAATGCTGGCCAGATGGACGCACCTTATAGTTACTATTCAGTCCATTGATGATGTGATGACTAGTGTGACCAGGATCTGAGGAGCCATCAACACAACTGCTAACTGACTCCTGAACTTACTGTTTACAGATCAGGGCTTTCTCTTCATGCTCACCTGCATTTAAATGCAGCTCGCGACATAGGTACACATCGATAGCAGGCTATGCTGTTACAATAGCAACAGCCCTCAGGATAAAGGCAGATACATTTTAATTAATGATTGAGATGCCCTCAGGGTGCATTACATCACTTCAACAACTTTTAGCCCCTTTCCCCCTCTTTTCTTTCAAGTTGAATAAGTTAATATGCAGAGTAATGCAAGGGTTTTTAATTACTGTAGTTGAGCTTTCAGTTAGCTGCTTTCCAGCACATTAAGCTACAGGGGTTTCAAACAGAAAGTGAATTTTATCTGAGAAAAAGCAAGTCAGTAAGATGAAAATGAATCCAATGTTAGTCAGTTAGTTGAATGACAAGACATTTGTCAATCAAAAATGCCAAATCTGACATCACTCTTGGGTTTTAATTAATCGTGATGGACTTCTTTGACATTAAACTAATAATCAAACTAATAGGTAAACTAGTAATCAAAATGATAGTGAAAATGACAGTTATGCACCTACAGTTTAAAAGCAAAGATTTCATAATGATGCACATAATATTTACATAGCATGAACAGACATATACGCACTGTGTGTGTGTGTGTGCACCATGTCAGAGTGTGTAGGTCTTGGCTTGCAAGCTGACACAGAGTCAGTGTGGGAAGCAGAGACACAGGCATCGTGAATGTGGTGGGGATTCTCTTTCCCACTGCAATATATTATTATACAGCAAGTGGGATGGATGATTAGAAAGATTTAAATGCCACGACTGGGTGTAGTGTGCATGGCCTTTTCCAGGCACTCTGTTGTGTTTGAGCTCATTTCATCTCTACCACTGCCGATTTCTACGGAGGGACTCGAGCACTTTGATGAATGACTCTGTCCGAGATAAACTGAGCTATAACATTTCTGACTTATTGTTCCTGATTTAGATGCAGACTTGGGTCTTGGTAGCAGGTTCATGATGTATTTATTTAAAAGAACAAATAGTACATAATGAATTAACATTGTCACGCAGTGTCAAATCTACAGGGCTTTGAGCAACATAAAAAAGAGCACTGTGAAAAGACACAGATGTATAATATTGGTCATAATTTTTTATAAATGATAAAAATGAAGGTTTTTATTTTATTTATTTACTTTTTAACCAGACTGAATTTACATGTAAATGTTATCACAGGAGGAAGGGCAGCTTTTAGAATTAATTTTCCCATCATTGTTTTTCATTAGAAATTCCAGTGATAATATCCTTCTGTATTAGAAAAGCTATAGTGTCGTAGTTACTGCAACACAGACAAAGAGGGAGTGGCTTTGTTAATGAAATCTTTGCTGGAGATTTGTCAAGGGAAGGGAATTCAATTTCAGTGGCTTTTTAGGTCCATTTCATCATAAAAACTGAGGGGAATTTGGCAGCAAACATGCACAGAACTGTTGCCCTTTTCAGATTCATGAATGTAAGGTCATCAGGCAATGGCAGTAATAAAACATATTCTCATGTTTGGCCAAATGAAAAACCACAGACCGTGTTAGTGCTAGTTCAGAAGATGAAACAAGTATTTCCTTAAAGTGTGTTTTTTTTTTTTTTTTTTTCATGAGACAGTCTGGGGAGCAGCTGACTTAAGCCCATAGCAACTTGTTCCCATGTTGTTACTGGATTATCTGTGTAATTAACAAAACATGCTAAGGTCTATCAAAACGAACTAGAAATCAGAAGCAGTAAAAAACATTGTGCAGCTTTGCCTTATTTGCTACCGGCTTCCTTTTGCTTCACATTTCCCTAATATGTCTTTTGTGTGAACACTAGCTTGTCTGAGCCATTTTGCATCACTAACTATCCCTGACCCTCAGAATGTCATCCTCAGAACATGTGGCCAGTCCTTTAGATAGCCCGTGTTCCTATGTTCAACCCACTGATTAACAAATTCTGGCTCTGCTCTGATAACTCCGACACCTTTTTCTTCTTCTCTGGGTCACAGACCCCCTTGTCAGCCTGACAGCCTGAAGCAGCACTCTGTATTTCTCAAATGAAGCATTTGACCTCTTTTAACAGTCTTTTATTTTAGTCACTGCTGTAGGAGGCTTAGTGTCAAGTGTGCATCGGGGCCGCTGTGTGCAGCTCGACAGAGCTCCTCTGGGCACGGGGCACACAGGCTGTCCATATGGTCACAGGCAACAATAATACAGTACATACCAGAGTCAGCCAACTGCTTCAGAAATGATGTTCTCTTTTATATCTCAAGACTTTGTGTTAACAGTCAGAACTGGCCTTTCTGATACTTCTACCCTCCACACTTTTGGATTTTTCACTGCCTAGTGCTACAACGAATGATCAGAAAGCCACAAAAATTTACCTGACATTTCTGATTAACAGTTTATCATGGTAACTTGTTACTTATGAGCTGTACAATCTAAATCTACATTGTGATTTGCTGCTTTTCCATCACTGTAAATAGAACATTTTTGGGTTTGGACAAAAACTAATTTGAAGATATCACCTTGGGATCTGGAAAAATTGTGATGGGATTTTTCATCTTCAATTCATTGGATTTTTTTCCCCTAAAATGATATTTAAGAAATTTAAAAATTTAAAGTGAAGACAATGCATTCTGAACCAACTATAGTAGATACATACAAATGCCCCATCAGTATGCAGAGAGAGTTTTTGTATAAACATAAACAGAGCGACTGTCAGATGCTGTTTTGTTCTGTGTCTATTTAAAAGTTTGGCTATTCAGCAGCCTATCAAAACATGTCAGCTCTTACAGATGCCATCTTTAGCTTCATGCCCATCACTAGTAAGCTTTTGTTGAAAAATGTTTAATAGACAGACGGCTGTTTTTGTGACAAATGACAGCAGGCTCTGATTTTAGAGTGACTGATCTTTACTGGAGAAAATATCCGGCTTCGCTCAAGTGTAGGAGGTGGACTTTGGAAAATAATGATGAATGCAGGGGCCCAGTGATGGATTGATCCTCCAATGAAGTTATGTTATGCATTCATGATGAGAGTAGTCACCGGGTGGGATTTATGTGGCTGCAGAGGAGCAATCACTCCTGAAAATGCAGTCTGTTTTAAGCAGCAGACCGAGGCTATTTGTCATTGTGACTGATGAGCTTCCAGTGATTAAGCTAACATGCTGATATATATTAATCTGCTTTATCTTATGAATGACAAGCGTGGAAATTTCATTCTTCAGTGTTATTGGCTCTGGTATACAAGCAGAAGCATCACAACATCTTGCATGCTTCATTCACTTTCCAGTTGGTCAGTCTTGCCATAGACTGTAAGATCTAAAGTCTGCGTCCTTTGAACAGCTCAAAAGTAGAGACAAGTCCTTTTACAAATATACAGTAACACATGAAAACCTGCATGTAAATCCTAAATCACACACGTTGGCACATACTTTCTAGACACATGTTGGCATGCCATATTTCCCCTTCACACTGTGACACTGACATG